GAGAAAGAGTTACACACTCTTCTCTAAGATAAATTCTTTTTAATTTAGTGAGAAAAATAAGATATTTTGGCAAAAGGTTTACACAGGAGTAAAATACAACCAAGAAAAAAGCATTTCACTAAAACATTCAGCACAAAGACCCATTCCACAGGAAACACCCACTAAAACAATCCATATACCAGCTTTAGTAAAAGACAGTTCATTGGTTTTAAGTTACCCACAAGAGAAGGCAAAAAGAAAACAGATTAAAAGGGGTAAAGAAAGAGAGAAGAAAGAGAGAAGGAGAGAGAGAGAGGAGAATAGTTACTGACAAGATCCGATGTTTAACATGGTGCGGGCTGGAGAGGGAGAAGAGAGAAGAGGAGAAGAGGGAGACTGCATGGAGTCTTGTGTATTTATAGGGTTCAGTCTTCTCTTCCAGGCAGGATATCCAGTCAGTGCCTTCCAGGCCAGAGTGAGTTGTCCTGTAGCCTGTCACAGGCTGCAGCTCTGCCTTGACTGACAGCCCGGCTGCAGGGCCTTCAGCTCTGCCGTGTGCTCTGCGTGGGCAGCAGGCCTTGCCTTCAGCTCTGCCCTGTGCCCTCAGCACAGGCCTTGCGTGCAGATCTCACCGTGTTCCTGCAGGTCCAGGCCCAGCCCTTCCCCACACACACACTCACAGTGAGTTGGTTCTGACCCATACCAATAATTCAGTGAGATTCGGATCCAGGATCTCACAATGTGCAAAGTAACTCTTCCAACTGCTAGCATACCACACCAGCTAAAGTTGCGGAAATACTGTCAATCCTCATCTCTCCTTGCTGAACCTGGACTGTCAGAGAGGCAAGAATGCAAAGTATTCAGGGCTAAAAGAAAAGAGACAGTGTCATTCTATGGTTTATTTATATAAAAATATATGGCATTTATTTAAAAAGAATAGAGTTGAGGGGCCTGTTTATTTGTCTCCAGACAAGTTCAATTAAAACCAAAACAAAACTATCCAAAACCCTTTGGAAGATGAACCGTAAAACCAAGGACTGCTATCAGTAACTCAAGAGGCTGAGATCTGTATACTTCATTGACCATGCTAGCTAGAAGGGTGCTTTGGTTTCATCAGATGGAAATTCTGGTGAACATGCTTTTATATGAGACAAGTTTAACAGCCCTTTCCCGTGGTTTGGTTTTGGTTAGTTTACTGTGTACTTTTATGTGTACTTTGGCTGTTAGTCCTGAAGAGAGGCCTGTTCTTTAACAAAAACAAATTAGTGACCTGCTCTTTCTAAATGACTTTCAATAATAAACATTAGGCTGTCACCTTCACATCAGTTTCCCTTGCTCTGACATCTAACGGTATAGTTAGAATATGAATATATAACTATATAATATAAATACAACTGCCTTCTGCTTACAGATGACAGTTTTGTTCTCTCATCTTCTCTCCAAACATCCTTAGTGCCAACTCTGATCACAAAATAAGCTAATTCAAAATGAACTGCTGAAAACTACTAGTTCTCTTCCGAGTGCTGTCTTCTCTGAATTAACAAGTTAAAGTGGCTCACTGATTAATATCAGCGCTTGTGCAAGGGAGCAGGGAAAGCAATTAGCAATTAGCAGGATTATGCAGAGTGGGACCTCTCCTTTTCTCCCCTTCTGTGACAGCAAGATCACTCAAGATGTACCACACAACTGCATCAGAGGGCTGTTCTAACTAGGATTCCCTGATGGTATTTGTCTTTATGCACATACAACCCTTCTCTCTGCTGTTCTGCAGACAGGTTAAGGGCTGTATTCAACTGACTGGGGAGTCTGCCTGCTAGAGACTCTGCAGGCCTCCCTCCCTGGAGAGGACACCTTATCCATACATGGTGCTGAAGCTGCTCAGGGAAAAGGCTAGATCACTGGATTAGAAAGAGAACAGTTATAAACGTCATTCTGGGAGGCTGGCTGTTAAAGATGATCTTTAGACCACAGAAGACACACCGTGTATCTGCATTTGATTGTGTTCCAACAGCCATATGCATTTTACTCAGTGATCACTGCATGTGAAACCCATCCATCAGAGACGCGCCTTGGAACAGGCACTGTCTCCTTGAGTCTCAAGCCCAATAAAAAACTAAGTACCCAGTGTCAAGGTAGTACTTCGTGGTGCTGTCTTGGTGCTCCCAAGCCAGGAAGGAGAGCCTCCCCTTGGTTATGAACTGCCTGCTGCTGTCTGTCTGTACGCATCAGGCGTGCCTCCCCTGCCCCCATGGCATGATCAGCCCCGCTCAGTCCCACACTCCCAGCCACTCTGCTCTCCAGAAGGAGGTCTGCCCACACTTCCTTTTTCTCTCAACTACTCCTCAAAATCCACTCTTTTATTTCTGTGGGAACTGGGCTGCACTTCTCCAAACAGATGAGCTGGGGCATAGAGCAGGACAGACGATACGGTGTTAGTGAGAAACCGCTGCGGCGCGGAGATGAAGAGCACAACAGAGAGGGCACCTCATCAATGTGTCTATCAGTATCTGAAGGGAGGGTGTCAAGAGCATGGAGCCAGGCTCTTCTCGGTGATGCCAGCTGTAGTGGGTTTCTGTGGCTATGTTTTGAGGGGGAAGGAGGGCTACAGGGGTGATTTCCATTAGAAGCTGCTAGAAGCTTCCTCTGTCCGGTAGAGCCAATGCCTGGAGCCAGCTCCAGGACGGACTCCCTGCCGCTGGCCATGGCAATTAGGAGTAATATTAACACCTCTGTGATAACATATTTAAGAACAAAAGTTTGTGGCACAGAAAGAATTCCAGCCAGGGAAGAGC